ACACACACACACACACACACACACACACACACACACACACACACTGCGATGGCCCCCTGTTGTCAGTGTGTTGACATCATAGGCTGTCAATAGGAACATTACCCAGGAGGGCCACTCGGCCCATTGGGTCCCACTGATGGATTACTGCCATAAGCAGCCAGCTGGGAGCTCTACTATATCAAGATTTTACCTAGTAGATGAGGTGATTTACTCCTGAAAGCCATCAATCACATGGGGAGAGCTAGTAGGCAAGATGCACCTAATTTCCCATCAACGCACATTCAGGGGAAAACAGAGGACAGGGCAGGAAATCACAATTCAACACTTGTCAATATAAAACATAAACAGGTTAGAGTGTGTGACAGTTCTGACCCCTCACTGTGGAGCATGGTGGACTGAACTTCCATGAGGACCTTGGACGAAGACTTAGGACCAGCTCTGCACCAAATGACCAGTGACATGACAACTTCTCTCACTGCCAGTGCCGTGCACTGACATCAGTTGAGCTCTGAGACCCCGTAATGAGGAAGCAAATAGGACAAAATGGCCTCTAAATAAAACATGGGGTGGAAAATAGAAAGTGGAGTCAGGTGTCCTTGGGAGAGTGACAGCTCTACTGGCTTCACATCCCCCCCCTTTCTCTCGCCTTTTTTGCATCCCCTCGCGGAGCCTAAATGACTTTTCCCGACACGCATCGAGCGTTCCCGGGCTTTCTGCGCTCTGCCGCCCGGAACATGCAGGCATCAGTAAACAATGAAATCTCTGGGCTGAAATTGAATTTATAACCACATTACCTGCACAGATAGCGTCTCTGAATGGCGCCGCGATAAGAGCAATGGGATTTGATTTTCACGTGTCTTATTGGTCCACTTTTTGGGATAAGCACCCCCCCTCCCACCTCCACACTCCCCCCTGCTCTTCTGACTACAGCCACGCCGCCATGGTTCACCTCTGCCTCACGCACACCTCAGGTTTAGTCGCGTGGTTGTTTGGTTGTGCATGTTGGGATCTACGGATGAGCGTGTGAGTGTTTTTCCCGAGGCCTGGTCTTACTGTGCTTATGTGCTGCGCTCTCGTAAGTGACAGTTGTTGGTTCATGACCACCTTTTTTACACGTCTCCATCCCCCCACTGCCCTCCGCCCCCACTCACATAAACCCTGTCAGTATCAGTCAGCCTCAGCCCCTTTTCTCCCTGGGGGGTCTCAAACACACAACAGGGGGCTGTAAAACCTGCCTGTAGGCTTGTTAACTGTTCTCTCACTACGGCAACTGGTTTGGATGGATTGGCTCTCTCTCACCAGGCTGTGCTGAGTCTGACTGGCCCATCGCTTAATGGATTCACTGTGTCTCTGTCTCCGATTGTTTCCTTTTTCTGTCTTTGTGTCTCGCCAGTTCAGGACCTCCTTTCCTGACTGTCTAGCCTTTGGCCAGCTGCCATTTGCTCTCTTCTCACTTGGGACAATGTTTGTATGACTATATTTAAATCTCGCTCCAATAAAGACACATTGCGTAGAATAGAATGTCACAGTTTCGTTTTCATCCCTATATTAAATTGACTGAACTATTTTCATAATTAGTTTACAATTAGATTCTTATGTGCAAGTGGAAAACCTTTACGCCTTTTGACCGGCAAGGACACTAAATAAACTATTACACAGCTGTTGTCAGGACAGAATAGCACAGACGAGCACAAACATGTATGAATATAATGTCTAGTTTATCTCCCTGTGGATTTGAGGACAACACGCCCCTGGGGCGAGAAACCCATCAAAACACTTTGATCTGTGTCTGCCCCATCCCCACTATCAAGCGCATCATGCGATTGTAAAGTTCATCTCTTGAAGCAATAAAAGATATCACCGTCCACCTTCTCCCCTTGTATGACCGATGGTCAAATCCTGTTTTTGTTGTTCTGCATCAAGACGTGGACTGTAACTGTCCTAATTTCAGTACTCGCCACAGAAACAGAGAGATCAGAATCCTGCTGACAAATCGTCAAAGCATCGAGTCCCCCCGAGGGCCTGGGTAATGGCCGATGCCAGCACCCATATGACGGCTGCCAGTTCTGCTGATGCAGATGCAGCAGAGACGCCTAACGTGACCTTTGGTGAATGCCACATCACATCAGGCCTGGATGTCACCCGCTGACATTATGCTGGGGCATGAAAAGGCTGTTCTGCAGGGGAGACATTGTGACGAACGTCCCCCCGGTGACAAACCTGTGGACGTGGTTATAATTCTGATTGACGTGAGGAGGATTGGACTGCTTTGAATGGCAAGGGACAAACAAGCAAGAATCCAGGGGAGGACGTGGAGCTTGTGTTGCATTGGCTGCGCCTGTTTTCTTTCTGCTTTCCTCTGCGATAAAGTGCTGAGACAACTCACTCCAACTGGCATCATTATCCCAATCATCAAACAATTCTCTAAGCACATCAGAAATCCCTCTATAAAGCCATAACAAGCACAGACTCTATATAACCAGTAGGCATATAGAGATTGGCGGGAGGAGTAAAGTTAACGCTTGGCAGCTAACGCTGCAGTGGTGGGTTGTGGAGGCAGGTCCTTGGCACAATTTCAGAGGAGATGGAGGGCTATAAAAGCCACTGGCTCCTGCCACACCTGTACCCCTCCCTATCCCGCGGCCTGCTTCCTATTTAAAAGCATCACATGCAGGATATTAGTCAGGCTTTTTTGCGTCTGTGAGGTAAAGCTAACCTCTGAAGCAGAGGGGGGAGAGGGGAAAGTATGCAGGCCGCCGTTTGTTTTTTATTGGGGAAATAATGGCCTATTGAGGGGTTGGGTATTTAATGAGCAACATAATAGGCCCTGTAGTAACACATCTGCTATGAGCAGAGTCATTTCCTCAGCTTTCAAAGGCTGCTGCTCCAGCCTTTGAAACAGCTAGTCCAGTTGCCTTTAACTCATTTCTTCTAGATATCTGCTTTTTATTAATTACAGAATTGCTACACTGGTGATATGTACAAGACAAATGTGCCGCGAGGTTCCATGTTCAATTCTAACCAAATTCACCAGGCGATGAATGAACACCTCCTCTCCTGGCTTGACCTCAAATCTCTCTCTGTCCAATCTAATTCCAGCATCCTTCAAAAATATCCTTCCCTACTCTGCAATCAATTGTGTTTAATGTATTAAAGACACTCACCACAACCACTGCAACCTTTGGCCCTTGCACAAATCAATGCCTCGTTAGACCTCTAATGATCATTCATTGACTAATAAGATCTGTATCAACCTCTTGCAGAACATTGATTGGCCTTTGGCCTCTGCAGTGCTCTGTGCATTACGTGGACAGCGGGAGATGGCAGCTGTGAGTCCTGGGGAGTCT